CATAGTCACTGACAAGACTGCGGATGGTTAACCACTTCAACGCATTGAGCCTGATTATATAACCAATGTACATCTGGGCACCAAAACATGCGCACTTTTGGCCCCCTTTGATTTCCGATAAAAGAACTTAGGCTTGCAATCCAGTACCGGATTTGCTTACGGCGTCCGGTTCCATTCTATGGGAGGACAACAGCTCACTCAGCGTCAACTCGGGTGTGTTCACTTGCTGGGAAAAGAGAAACAAGAAAGTTCTGCTGGCAGGTTGATTGGGGATCTTCATTGGGAATGGGATCGTTGACGATACCAAGGCTTTTTGCTCATAAATCTTACTGAAAGCGACGATTCAGTTATTGACCTGTAAGTACTATTATGCAATATTACTTTTCAGAAACAAGTATCCCAACACCATAATACTTAAGTATGCCTCCACCTCAGGGTCGGTTGTACAAATTATATCGAACATTTTTATATTCTTACACAAGGAATGTTATCTGATCAGAACATGCAAATAAGAAAGACAGATCTGGAAACACTCACCAACCACGGACAGTAAAGTTTCACGAACCACAAGTCCATCGAGTGTCTCACATCGTACTACGTGCAAACCAGATTGTTTGCCAAAGGTGGCTGATTCAAGCGTAACGGTCGGGTAATTATGAGCACCATTCCGAAGTTGGCCAATTTGGGGTAATCCGGGTAAGGTGCAAACCACATTGGACAGTTCAAGTAGCTCCGAGTTCATTGTGGTTTGTGTGACCGATTGGAAACCGAAACCTGGTTGAATACTGCTATCCAAAACGAAAAATTTCCATTTTGGTATAACAACAAGTTGGATGGTAGAATCTGTCGGAATGTTTCGTGAAGAAAAAGTTCTAGCACTTATAAGATAGGGCACATCGTTCCACTGAATGAAGTAAACGCGTCTGAAAGTGTGCGTTTTAGTGTTTGGCACAACAAATAGGATTGATAAACGTTCCTCTTGTAGATGCCGATACAATATAAATGATGCATATTCCAATTACTTGTATGAAACCGAATGATACATTCAATAAACAGATAAACAAATGTTGAAATGTCACTAAATCCGACTTGGCATGAGTGCACATCTTGTCCCAAATGACCACCGAAATAACCGTCCAGCTGAACATAGTCAAGGTAACCCGTTCGGATTTAGTCCCATCAATGGAGACCAATTTTTTTCCTAGCTTGAATTTTCTTATTCCGGATACCAATCCCATGGTGTAGCTTTTAACATGTTGGAAAACCCGGCACATCTTCGCTCTTCCCAATCGCGGTGGGTCATCTGGTCTGAAAGGTTATCGCACTGATGTCCTTGAGACGTTTCTCTTTCTTTCTAATGTCATACACCTAAAGATGGGAAAGAATTTCGCTTCGGAAGGTCACTCTTACGTCTCCATTGTCTCAATTACCGGCAATGCAGATGAAGTTGAGATAAACCTACTAGCCACACAGCACTCTATCACTGACCACTATGGTGGATAGAATCTGGCCTCTCCCAATGTTTCCAAAGATCATGATGATCAAACTCTTTGATTGAAAATCATTGGGTTATAGAACTGCTTTGGCTAACAGCGGTTCAGTTGAAACAACGGTGTGAGATAATTATTGCCTGTGTTTTGGGGCATAAATTCGAAACAAAGCTCAGGCACCGGTGACTAAAGTGTTTCAATTAATACAATATCCAGATGTGAGGACAATGATACCAGTTCTACTACTCGTGACCAGCTTCAATGATGGCAGGAAATAAGTGGTCGACAGAGAGCTGGGTATTGTGAGCACTGATGGACCTTTATATGTGCTCACTGTCTAAGCCAAAAGAGATCAACCGAAGTCAGTTCCCAAAAAAAGCACGAACAACGATGGTTGTGCGGATTGAAATTTGTACCCCACTGTGAATATCATGCTGCGTTGCTGAAGAAACGTGTTCAGTCGAGAGCGTTCAACGGTTGCCTAAATGTTTCCCCACAATGGAATTCAAACAATCAATTAATGCAACAGATTGTACACCAATAGTTTCATTGTTTAGGTTCACCCCGGTGAGATCCATGCGGGCAGTCTTTCTGAAGCGATGGTTTTCGAAGATGCGTGGAACGTTTTCTGGGGAATATGCTAATGTAAATTAGCAGAGAACAACAAACAATGAATGTAATGAGGCAATTCGGACGAAAACCCTCCCCCCCCCAAAGGAAAGAGGGTATTACACGAGAGAAAGCATAGAACCGATGGGGAAGCCGTAGTACAGTTGCAGTTTTCTCAACATTTTCCCATCGATAGAGATCAAACGTCTACTGAGGAAGTTTTTCATTCTAGTAGCAAAGCACGAAGAGGATTCAACATCTTTCAGCATGGGTCAATCGCAGAAATGACCGGCAAACCATGATCATTTGCAATAGCATATTCGCTGCAGGTGGGATGATAGCACATTCACTCTCCCATAACTTTGCATTTTTGGAGAGGCACGTTCCCCAATTTCAGATATAACGTTTTAGTAAACAAAAACCAAATTTATACTTAATTACGTAATTTCGGCTCGTGTAATGTCTACCTCTCGTTTATTCCGACTTCCTGTTACTTTCTCCCTTGGTTGTTGACCGATTTATGTGTGGGCCATTCATTATCCAATATGCAATGTTGCATCCAGGAAACGATGTTTAATCGAGTGTGGCACACCTTTTATTCTGATCACTGTATGAACAACCTGTGCAACGAACCCACACCGATGTCGTCGTTTCAACGCAACAATGGGAAAGCGTATATCTATCAGAAATGGAGAGGGGAATGTGTTGGATATGCTGAATCAGCTTAGTATAACTCGGAGCTAGGTGTTAAATGCACTAGATGTTTCAAGGGACACGGTTTGTGCTGAACACTTAAAAGCACCACGTGATGCAGTAGATGAATTTCGAGCGGAGTAATTAATTTGATGATACAGGCACGTTGAAGAGAAAAATTGGTCAAATTACCGATTCTACTGTTCTAATGTTTAGCTAAGTGTAGCATAATGGAACATCAGAACACAACGATTGTAACTTTCATCGTATGTGTTTATTTTTATTATGCTATTTTTTATCCTCCCTACCTATCTAATATGATAACATCTCAGAGCCGGATATTTACACAACTTTTCCCGTTTTAAAAGAGAGCGAGATTGCAAGAGATGTATAGTATTCCATGTCTGAAAGATTCTCACGACAGCATTTAGAACAAACACAGTTTGGTGAAACACTTGTTCTTCAGTAGTTCCTTCTCAAGCCGTTTACAGATTACTTAAGTAACACTAGAAAACAGATCACACAGTTAGACACATCGCCAATCATGGGTAAGAGTTTGTCATAGTCAACTGGCATTTGTCTTTTGATTGGTTTAACTAAGTTACGGATGACCGGATGACCGGACGGCGGGCACACTCGGGACCGATTGTTCACGGGCCATGGAAGTTGGAGTGACTGAACCAAACGCTTTTGGGCGCAGAGGTCAGGGGTCAACTTTCTTATCCCGATTGCTTCGGTTATTGCTAGGGTGCGCAATTGAACAATTTGCAATTTGTTGGATGATGAGCTGACGATCGTTAGAAACACCTTGCGTGAGAACGGATACCCGGATCGCTTTATCGAAAGAAATCTGATTGAACAAATGCCGGAAACTCCCATGCAAACTGTGAGAAAGAAAGATTTATTCATCAGTTTGCCATTCAAACGCGATGCCGTGAGTGAAATCCTACCCCGACGACTGAACAGGGAGATTGGTAACGTCTTCAACGCTGCTAAGTTACGATGCGTGTTTCGTGGCGCTCCAATGATTTACATTCAAAACAAGGATAAACTGTCGATGCTTACCTCATCAATGGTTGTATACTCTTTCATATGCGTATGTGGCCCATATTATGTTGGTCGAACGGCACGACAGCTGCTTACCCAGATCAAAGAGCATCACCCACGCTGGTTAAGACTCGGACAGACCGGAACAATAAACAGCTCCATCCTAGCCCATTTAGTCGAAACCGGGCATCAAGTAATTCCGGACGTCGCTTTTAGAGTTCTTTATCGTGTCCCCCACACCAAGTGCAAGGGTGTTCAATTTCGCACCCTAGCAATAACCGAAGCAATCGGGATAAGAAAGTTGACCCCTGACCTCTGCGCCCAAAAGCGTTTGGTTCAGTCACTCCAACTTCCATGGCCCGTGAACAATCGGTCCCGAGTGTGCCCGCCGTCCGGTCATCCGGTCATCCGTAACTTAGTTAAACCAATCAAAAGACAAATGCCAGTTGACTATGACAAACTCTTACCCATGATTGGCGATGTGTCTAACTGTGTGATCTGTTTTCTAGTGTTACTTAAGTAATCTGTAAACGGCTTGAGAAGGAACTACTGAAGAACAGTTGTTTCGCCAAACTGTGCTTATTAGAGTACTGGTTGACGGCACGACAGAATAATAGCACGGAAATGGTACCATGAACGACTGTTTCTTATCACCCGCTAAAACATGGATAACCCTTACCAACAAGCGTGAGTAGAGTGCCGTCCTGTGTTCCGGAACAAACTATTCGGTATTGACCTCCCGGTACGTGTCTGTCTGTCAGGTGCAGAATGCCATTTGTGATCGTTAAAACACCTTGTGGATCGAAGCAATCAAACGGTTGACTGGGCCATTCTTCCTCGGGAATCGCACTAATCCAAGGCTCTGTTCGATTCAGTTCACGGACACACAATTGATGCTTTGTTTGTACAGTTTGTTCCAACAAAATCGTTTTTGTGGGAATGCACTGTGTATGAAAGTCTCCTTCGTCGAATATTTTCCTATCAAAAATTTGCGAATATTGGCTTTCTTCGTTAAAACAGATGAATCGGGCGAAACCGGCTTGAAGTTCGATCAAATCGAGTCGATCGGTAAATTGAATCGGTTTAATACCACTTGGCCATTGATAAGTCACATTGCATGTGACGTGAAATTTGTTTCCACGGTGCAGCTTGTCCAATGGACAATCCCAGATCAGATCTGCTTGCAGCATATCATTCTCCTCGGGATTGAGGAAAATGTTTTCCGGTTCCAAATGAATATATACGGCCTGATTGTCTGGAGGGGAGGATGTAGAACATACATTTTATGATTACAGGAAGAAGGAAACAGCTGTTTTGCTGGTGCGTAACACCTATCTACCTACTACTCATCAAATGATAGAAATTGAATTATTTGTGATCGAACCAAGCCTTGTTAGGAATCACCATGTTTTTGCAGATCGCACCACGTCTTTCCATCAAACTCGCCAACGAGTACCATCTAAGTGGGCACTGAACGCTGCACAGACATGTTCCAATGTTGACAGTACAACCTATGAACAACTCAGAATTAATTTCAATGGGGTTGTTATTCTCCGCTCAAATCTGGAATACGTAATCCGGATCAAATAACACAGAAACATCAATTTTGATGGCACAGTGGAAATCTTGAAATAGTCCGATCTAGTGCGAACACAAAGCTATGAGCCACATTTTCAGTGACATCCAATAGAAGTGGAGAGAGTTAAGAAAATAGCACAGCTTGACATGTTGACTAGCAAAATGGTACCAATAATTCTGCACACAACGGAAAAATCAAAAGCGATCCTCAAGGATTGAATTCTGAACTACCAAATTAACGATTCGTGTTGTGAATATATGCATCCACCAGCTCTAAATGATTACCGTATCATTTGATGCAGTCATTAACTCACATGACTCAGTCATCTTTCAGAGAGTATGTGTGTATGTGTTGTGCTCATTGGCCTCATAACCTTTTTTCGAGGGAGGGGGGGATTTTTATTCGACCGTTCCATCCGACCTAGTTCATAATTTAATTGTGAATCTGGTTCTGACTAGCATACTGTCTCGTGTATTCCAATCTCCTGTTGCGAAATAGCTTTGCAATCAGTTCAGATTATGTTAACAATGTTCTGTCATGAGCATGTTCAGAATAATTCAGACGTTAGAAAATACGAGGAAACACTTTCTCTGTCAGCTATCAAGATATCGGCACACAAAAGTGCATCGTTCATGGTCTTAGAAACTGGGATGAAATTAACTGAACTCTTCTTCTCAGATATCACACCTTCAGATAAAAATATGTAAGAGGACAGGAATGTTTTTGACGTAATTCCAAAACGAGCTGTTTCCTGTTGGTTAGGATTCTGGCCAGATGGGGTACATCAGTCTGCTTACGAATGTTAGCACGAAAAGGTAGATGTAGACAGGATGAGCTTATGTGTGTGTGTGGAGGAATGGAACTAAGATGAAGATAAATTAAGTTGTAGTAGGTGAAGAGCGTCGTCCAAACTCTTATTGGAGTAGCTAATACAAGAGTTGATGCAACCAATGATTAGTTCTGTGATTAATAAATGAACTCAAATCTAGAAACATGGCTAATTATCGCTGAACCACAAAGAACGATTATAAAGTCTTGATTTAAGAATCCAAGGAAAACTACAGAGGATTGAAAGAGTAGAAAGTGGTAAAACACATTGATGATGGTAAGGGGGCAAAACTAACTGGAGGGTTCAAATTTGCCTGAGTTTCCGTAGCTGAAATTAGGCGCGGCTCAATGTCACCATACAATCTTTGGTGTGTGTTTGTCTCTCTGTGGATTAGCAAAGGTCGCTGTGGTTGATGATGCCTAGGTACTTGACAAAGATATAAGGTAAAGGGGAGCAGAATATATTGGAAATGAAGAGCAGAAAAGACTACACATTCACCCTAGGATGTACCAAGCCTAAGAGCACTGTGATTAGATTTCAGATAGACTTTAACTGAAGAAATCTGATTGTGAAGCTGGAATTTATCTGGCACAAAACGGAATTGTCAGTATGCGTTTGAATGTGTGTGCCGTAGGACAGAAAGGTAACTAGGGAAAGTG